CCCCCCCGGCCGCCAGCCAGAGCCCAGCGGCCAACAAGACGCAAGCTCATCTTCGGCCTACGAATTCCATTCAAATTTTGTTGATCTTAGAAAAACAGGGAGTATGTAGTGAGCGCGAGTGAGCTACATATTTGTCGCCGTACGACATTAATTTTACTACTCGTTCAGGTGAGAGGGAAGAAGGGTCACTTCATGGCGGTAAGCGGAACCCGACAACCGCCCGCACGGCGCTCGAGTAGTCATCAAAGACCCCACCCCCCACCCCATCCTGTCCCGCGCCGAGCCATGCACTGCCTCGCTCCTGGCCGGTGGATGCTGATGACTAAGCGGGCACGGGAAAATCTAGCCGGGAAACATCCTGTTGAGACCTAAAGCCTTTCGCGTTCGCGCTTAAGCGCACGCGAAGCCTAATGAATCGATTCTCTGCTCAGAGCCAAGTGCAGTCAACAGTAGTCAATTTGTAAACCAGTCATTGCTCACACTGGCTAAAAAACGCACTGTTAAAAGCCTATAGTGAATTCTACCGTCAGCTACAGCTACACTGTAAAAAAATTTCTATGGTAGATTTCCTATAAATGTATCTGCAGCATTTTACAGACACATGTACAGGAACTTTCCCATACAGGCGTGTGTTAATTCTACCATACGCAATAGTATTCTTACCATGCAAGTATAGGAATTTTCCCATACACCTGTGTAGGATATGTACTATTTGTGTGTGGCATTATCCCTACACATGGAAAAGAATTTTCCTACAACCGCTGCCCTATCAAAAAAGAAAAAGTGTTTGTTTTTTCCCCTTTCCCGCCGCTTTACCCGTTCCTTGTCGCCTTCCTACCGCCTAGGCATTTGTGCGTAAGTAAGCATTGTAATTATGAAATACCTTACTAGATGGAGAATAAAACGTAGGACTTACGTGCAAACCCGACACGCTGACCAGACCGCGGGGACTTGCTATGAGGCATGCCCCACCATCCCCGTGTCATCCCAGAGCCGCGCGCTCCCTCGCTGGGCCATTCCCAGAGGGCCAGCCTCGTGTCGGTGCGGTGCCGGGGCAGGCCCACGACATTGGGGATTTACTCCTAGATGTTTTGATGTCGAGTTTCAAATTTTACTGACTGCCCTGAAATTCTATTATCAGCAATCAAAATACTAGTAAACAAACACCCAGTGTGTCTAACCATGTGTGGTGTGGCGTCAGGCGCCAGAAGTAAGCTCACAAAATGACTGCGCAGACCAAGTTGTGTAAGGTAGAAGATATGCATATCCTTTTCCGTTTTTAAAATCCCGAACATAGTATAGGGAAGTTGTCATCATCTAGTAAATTTCCTATACATGTGAAGTAAAATATACCATACCAGACACGTATCGCGATTCCGCGGAATTTTCCCATACACGTATGGAGATTTTCCTACACACTTTATACTTTTCCCGTACACAACTCCCAAATGGGAAATTTCCTATACATTTATGGGAATTTTCACTGCCGATACGACTAGGAAATTTCTTATACATGCGTATGGTAATATTCCCAATATTTTTACAGTGTACAGTGAGGTGCTTGACATCTCGCCCCAGTTAACTCGAGTCAGCGAAATCGCTTCTGGTACAACCCACCCCGAAGCTTACTCCCCGATTTACGGGCCAGTTTCAGATGCAATTTTGGGCCAACACGCCCCAATCTACCAATTGTCAAAATCTTGCCTCATTTGATTTTAATGGCAATAATATCAGCTAAGACAATGTGAGGAAGGAGGACCGGCTTCCACGCTCTCATTGCCTTAGCGTTCGGGATTCCATGTAAGATGGCAGACCTGTGAAACGCAAGTGTTCGGGAGATTATTTATTAAACAAAAACTACAAAACGCAGGGAAACGGACGAGAGGTCATTTAATTGAAAAAGAACTGGCCTGAATTTTGATATATAGAGCAGCAGTATAACCCTCCGGGAACGTGCTCTTCTTTGAAATACACCAGACGAGTACACAACTTGGTGGCGTCCCCATGGGAAACGCACGTCACAGCAACGTCGACAGGACGTAGATAGTCTAGGTCGGTACAACGTAGATCGGAGCGTTGCTGTGGTAGAGATTTTGACAGGGGCCGCGGAAGTGGGGTGCAGGGGGGGCTAAATGCCCCCCCCCCCCAAATTCGATCGTTTTCCCCCCAAGATCCCACACAGAAAAAAGACGTCTATTAGATGTCTAATATGCATCTTTCTGTAGACCCCCAGTGGTCTATTAGATGTATTATCGTGTCTACCCCAAGACGTCTACAATTGATCGAGTGTCCACATTTACAACATCTATTAGACGTCTTTTTGTCGATGTTGATTAGATATCTACTGATAGACCAACCAAAGACAAGTATTTTACGAAAAATAAAAATTTGGCATGTTCTTGAGTCAACTCATACTCCCTCATGGCTCTGTGTTCACCTTGGTTAGCTTTGGACGTTCGAATATGTCACCAGTGTTGGGATTAGAACCCTCAACCTTTGGGTTCGAGAGCGCGAACGCTACCCCGCACCCATCGGTTGCTTCTAGGAGAAGTCGTGTTGGAAAATGATATCCTTCTACAGAGATGTCTAGACGGCTACGAACATCTATAGATTGTCTACTTCTAGACGGTGTATTAGAGATGACTCGGACAGTTACCTAGACCTCATTGTCTTTCGCTAGACGGTAGAAAGATAATCAATAGATGTCTAGAACTTACATGTTTTAAGACATAGACCTGCAAGACTTACGATAGATATCTACCAGACGTATTCACTGCATTATAAGTAGACCTAGATGTCGTAGACAGGTGGCAGATGATACATAGATATCTTAATATCGACAGAAGTATACATAGATCCG